TAGTGGTGTGTTAGCATTCACTCGAGTGATTTTCAAGAAAAAATCTGGTTCAGACTATATTATTAAATTGCATATAACTGTAACGAGTAGAGAAAAACATCTTGCAATTCTGTTAAAAATCTTATTCAATAGAAAGCAAAAACAAAAATAAAAAATTGCTCCTCACTTTTATTCATCCCCAAAACGTCCATGTAAACTTTGGTAGACATTTTAAAAAAAGTTTTGCCGAAACTCTTTTTCACTTTCATGAAAATTTGAATGAAAAAACAATTATTGCCTACCTGAAAATTCTAACTCAAAGAACATTTAAAGCATTAGTCAAATAACAAATTAAGTTAAATTTAATGTGTTTAATTTTGCTCGTTTTTAAAAAATTCTCTGCGTAATTAATAGGTATCATTGTGTTTAAGTTGTTTGCATTCAGTAGTGGAAAAAATCATTCTAAATTAAATTTATTAAATCAATAATAATAAAATATGAAATCATAAAATTTACTACTCCTCTAAATGTTCAAATAAAATTCTCCGATCGCAGGTATACAATACTTTTGATCGCTAAATAGTAAATTAAAAGAAAATAATAAACTAATTCGTAATAAATTTTTTTTGAGTTAAGACTATTTTTATTCATTATTTTTAATATTATGAGGTAGTATATTGAGAATAACTATATATTTAGATATTTTAATAACAACTTTTTTCTTAATTTACCCGATAATCTGCTTAAATGAAGAAAGAGGTCCATGTGGCTGAAATTTACATTTACTTACGAAAAAATTATTTAGAAAATATAAATCTAAATTAACTTATCTAATATTAAAATGGACATAAATGATGAAGATTTCTAGCGACTAAATTGAAAACTAAAATGTAGTAAATAAAATCAAAGCATCAAAACAATTATCTTTATATGGTAGTTAATACTTTTTATTTTATAACTACCGTTCGGATATATCATAGGAAAGCTGTAACCCCCGTAACTTATAGAAAGTGTAAATAATTTTCTTTTTTCATCTTCTCGGTGTTTTATTTATTTAAAAATCGAAACTCATATTCATAAATTAATTATAAAAAAACATGATATCCGATAATATTTTATCTTGTTGACTATGAATTTTTCCACCATAGAATAAATAAAATGCTTGACCTTTACATGTTTGTTTACTTTAGAAACTCTTCTGAAAAAAAAAGAGCTTTGCCTTTTTCTTAAATCATATTTTAATATATCCATTAATTACAAAATTTCATAAAACCTGCTTTCGAAAAATTAGGGATATTATCAGATAGCCCAGTAGATTTATTTGAGATTTTAAGAAATATACTAACAATATATCATTGTTTTGCGGTTCCCAATTTTTCCCGGATACGGAACCCTAAATGATACACCTTCTTTTTGCAGAACCCCGATTTTATAAATAAAGTTTTCTTATCAGTTGTAAACATAATTACAACGGAAGCACTGCTAATGATTTTGAAAATATTTTCTGTGAGGATTAAATTAAATTGTTAATAGTTTCATTAAAAATAGTCTTAAAGCGCGTCATCTATAGTTGTGATTATTTCTTTTTTTTGGTTAATTATGGTTAATTTGGTTAATTAAATAAATAAGCCGAATTATGGTTTTCGTTGAAATGAAGATGAAAAAGAACTATTGTTGGTTGAATTGAGATCGAATTATAATTATTTGTCCTTTTTAAAAATTAATTTCTCAGGATGATTTCAACCAATTTCGCTCAAAGTTTGCATTTTGCCATAGGAAATTATTTTCTTTAAATAGATACAAAAAATTATATACCTTACAGTTCAAAATTTTTTCGATTATTATTAAATGAAATAATAAAAAATAATAGTAATAAATAATAATAATAAATAATAATCACTTTTTAATAAAAGTTATTTCTTGCATGGAATTATCTTTGAAATTTTATAATCAAGTGCCAAAATTTTTCAATTTGCTTAATAATTTCTCGAGATAAGTGCAAAAAGTGAAATTAATATTAAGGGGTCCAAACTTTGGAGCGCTCTCTTGGCAAAACTATTGGGATCATATTTTTCGGATTGCAGCTACCCCTATATCTTGGGAGTCAGAAATATGAATCCTTCGAGAAAAAAGTATGTTTGTACAAAGAAAATACGTTTTTGTGTCTGATTTCGTAACCTAAAATATCGTCTGCACTTACTAATTAGCATATATGAGGTCACTCCTCGATCCATTACGTCCTGGAACGTAAAAATCCCATCATTAGAGCAAAAGTCCTCTAGGGTGGTCCGTTTTTTTTGGAGCACTGTATTTGGACTTAATTGAAAATTAAAAGGTGATGAAAATTTAAGAAAAAAGAAATAATATCCTCATAATGAATCTGATCTAAAACTTAATGTAAAGATGCAAGCAACCAATTTTGTTTTAACCCTTTGCACTCGAAATTCTTTCAGCTGTTAAAAAAAATGGACCCAACTACTAACATTTTAAAAGATTTTTTTGCTAACTTACCTTATAACACCTGGAGATCATTGAATGAAGTGGTAACTAAACATTAATGTGAAAAAAATTTCACATTTAGAGTGGTGGGTAATTTACAGGTGACAGTGGTGACTGACAGTCCACCTCTCGAGTGCAAAGGGTTAATTTTCTCTACGCATTTTAGTTTGGAACTAAATAAACATCGGATTAAAGAAAGCAATAAAATTGAATCGAGAGAGAGATTTCCAAAATTAGCAACAGTTAAAAATAAACTTTAGTTAGAAATAGTGCTTAAAAAACGGAAGAATATAGTTATAATAGGGCAATTTTCTAAAGGTTGGAACATAGCACAGATCTTAAATTAAAGTTCTGACTAAAATTAAGTTAAATTTAATCCATGGTATATAATTCTGTATAGTGACAGGAATTAACATAAATTATTCAAAAGTTATCTGTAAATACTCTAAAAAAATTTTTTTCAATCAAAAGGGCCAATTTTGAACAAATGCAACATCAATTAAAAAATTCTGACTAGATTATTAAAAATAAAATAAGTGTAATAAACGTATGTAATAGAATGGTTACTTGTTAATATCCTTAACAAATGATTACAATAGATCTATCACATAACTGTGCGAAAGCTTTTTTTATGAAAAAGAAATTTAGTGTTTAGATGGATGTTCAAAAAGTAGCCAATAAAACTGTGCTTTTATTTTAACAAAAAATAGATCAAAATAAATAATTTAAACTCATTTAGCCATTTTTAAAGCAATTTTTAAGTATAAATATTTTCTCATATTTTTAGGAAATATTTCTGTTATAAAAAGCTGTTTTCTTATCCATGAATGATGGTTCAAATTATGTAACATACGCAAGTTGATAATTTATACCTTTAATTTATTGTTTAAGATAATCTGATGTCCTGAACTTTGAGGAAAAAGTTATTATAGCTTAAATTTTGCTTTACTAGAAAGATATATCGCTTTAGCAGTGGATATTTAATGCATAATCTTAAACATAAAAAAAAAAAAAAATCAGAATTAGCTTTTATTATTCCCACCTTTTGAGAGGGGCCCTATAATATTTTTAGTTAACTATATTTCGCGAAAAAGATCACTTGCAACTTTTCATTTTTAATATCATTCGTCGCAATAAAGTGCTTTTATTTAAAATGAAATAATAGAGAAAATTGTTATTTATTAATCACCAATTTCTATTAGCGTAAAAATTAGACGTTACACGGCATTAACTGAGTAAAACAAAACCTCCTGAGTTGTGCTTAAATTTTGTACTTATAACAGAATTTGAAAGCTACAAACTCTTTGCCAATTGGAATTTTTTATTTTAGTTTATTTTTTGTTTGAATGTGCAATGTTTTAGATCTAATTTAGGTTTATGTACACTTATTTGCTTCTTTAAAATTAATATTTAGGAAAAAGAATATGACTTCAACGGACTGAATCGAAAAATAACATGTATTATCGTTTTCCTCCACTTCATACGTATCAGAGAAGTGGGTTCACTTAGTATTTATTCTAGTGAACACTAAAAATTTCTAGTTAGGAATATATTATTAAGTTGTATAAAAACTGAAACTTGGGGAGAGAAACTGATTGCAGATTTGAAATCGGCGAAGCGTTTATATCTAAGTAAAATCCGTTCAAAAAATCTCTTGTAACAGAAAACTCATTCAAAAGTTATTTAATTTCATCCTGGTTTAGTTTCATAAGAATTATAGACTTATAGTTCCGTTGTCAGTTACTGACAATGTGCGGATTCAATATTATCAACAAACAGATATTTGTAATCAGTTTATATAGAAAAAAAAATAATTGTAAATATTTAGAAGCAAAATCTAAATTGGAATAAATATCCACAATGTTCAATTTATTCAAATTTAAGAGAGACGCAAAAGAAACTAACTCTTGAACTCTTGCAGGTTCAGCCCTTTTGCTTGAAACATTTTTACCATTGAATTTACGCTTAGACTCTGAGAAAATTTAAATAAATATAACTATGAAAAGAAAACGCTTCACTTTTCGTTAATAAAAAACTGCCAAAAAAATGGGTAAAAAATAACCGTTTAAAATATCGTATTTTTAATACGTATTTTTAACGAAATATTTAAACGGAAAATTGATAACGTTAAAATACCTTAACTTTAACGTATACGTTATAACGAATTAACCAATGGGAAAAATCATCCCGTGAAATTGGCGTAATTTTAATGTTAAGTCCAAAATCTTATAACGAATTAACGTATTTTTAACTTTTATTTATATTTTGAATATTCATCCTTGGAACGATGAAAGGTTATCTGGTTTGTAAGCAGAATGGAGCAATCCGTACATTTCGATCTCCTTCCCTTTTCTTTAATTGATATAGCGATGATTTTTGGGACTACTGATATTAATAAGAGTATTTATATAGAGTATTGTAACATCAAAAATAGAATGATCATTATATCAAATTTTCTCAGCTACAGTAAGAAAATTTAAACTTAATTTTATTTCATATATAAATAAAAATGATGTTTTTAGGAGGCTTATTTGACACTGACGATGATGAGCAAGAGCTAGCTTTTCGAATTGCAGTAGACAAAATAAATGGTGACACTAGTGTTTTGCCGCGCTCAAGATTGGTTGCGGAAGTTGAGAAAGTTGCTATCGATGACAGCTTTAGAGCGACGAAAAAAGGTAAGTTCTTTTATTTGTATGAAGTCAAAGCAATTACGTCATAAATGTCAAACATGTAATAAATATACACGGCCAGTGGTCGGAAGTAGTGCACGACAAGTACTGGAAACTACTGTAGTCGCTACTTTTCTTCGTAGTTCGTAGTGTAGTACTTTTTTTCAAAAAAGTAGTATAGTGAGTAAGGTAAACCAACCAGTTAAGGAACATTTCATATATATTGATTAAAAATAAGAATTTGAAAGTTTTTCTTTAGATTGATTGGTAACAATAGCTTACTGCCAAACAATAGGAAGTCATCTAGCAATGTTTTGGATTACCTGGTCAAATAGATTTCTTTGGAAGAATTTTTGAATTTGTTGTTATCTCTGCAACACCTTGTTTCTTTGAAAAAATTATAAGGTGAGTGTTTGTATTTATATGTTTGAAGTGGAATTAATTGCATGTAATAGTTTTATTTTTCTCACTGTGAAAAAGAGAATTCAAAATATAGTTATTGAAGTTACGTTTTATTTTTTTTAAGCATCATAGCATAATAAAGTACTGAGATAAGGGGGTGTTTATTCACTGGATCACCAAACGATGAAAAACCAGTGAAGGAACAAGTGTTCCTTTACTGGTTTTTTTTCTAAGTTAATGAAAATAAAAGATAAACTTTAATTTTCTTGTACCTTTAGTGATGTTCCGCATCAAAAGTATGTTAAAAATACGAAAAACAACTTCTAACCAGTGAGGGAACAGGCATGTTCCTTTACTGGGCATAGATTTCCCAGTGAATGAACAGTATGTGTTAATATGTTGACACTTTAATTTTCAATTCATGATTACAAAAAAAGTTAATATTTTCCAAGTATTTATATGTTATAATTTCAAGAATAGGCTTGTTTTTAAATATTTGTATGGCTTATAAATTCATAAAGAGCATTAAAAAATAACCAAAATTAAGTGTTCCTTTACTGGGTGTTCATTCATTGGTAAGAGCTGTTCCTTCACTTGGTCTTCTTACTACTTGTTATTTGAACCTCCAAAACTTTAAAACAATATTATGTAAGTTCTCTGCAATTTTTTTTACATAATTTGCAATTAGTAACAAATATGTTGACACTGTCATTTAACTAAAATTACAATTTTGAAATTAATATGATTTTTTAAAATGTAAGCGAAGCTTAAGTGTTCCTTCACTGGTTATTTTACCCTAGTACGATACAAAAAAATAGTAGTTTGTAAAAATTCCTGGCAAATTCTTTTAATGTTAGTTAAGAATAGTAATGAGGCCCTAACGCAACTAATTTTTCGAATTTGATGGGAACAAATCTTCGCAAGTCCGTCAATGGGTTCTATGAAAATGACTCTATATCTGCAGGTGAGCGCTAATAGAAATTATGCACTTTAAATCACGCATAACTAACATATAAACTAGCCATTACGAAAAATAAATGATTAATACTTCATTCACACTTTCACACGAGAATGTACGCTAGTGAAACATTGATGTTATTTCAAAGGAAGGAAACGTAATTTCGATGTACTTAACTTCTTAAAGGAAATAAAAGAGCATTAAATTATTAAATAATTCCTAGTATTTGATAGTTTCACTTTTCATAAATTAAATATTCGCTGTTAAAAAAGACATAAAAATTTGACGATTAAATAAGCATACTGGAGGAAAAAAAATGTTTTGGAATAACAAACTGGCTCATCTAAACATGAATAAATAATTCTTAATCCTTCCCTTATATTTAATGCAAACCAATTTCTTATTCAAGGCCATTTTGGGCATAGATGTAAATTAAGTTCTCCAGTAAAGTTCGTCTCTTTAAAGTAAGGAAGTAGTTACTAAATTCCCAAGCAGTTTATAGCGACTACATTTAAGAAAATGTAGTTTCAGTTAACTACATTTCTAACAAAGTAGTTGTAGTCAACTAGAAAAATATTGTAGTTTTTCCAACCACTGCAGACGGCCTACGATCAGCAATTGCCAATTCAATAATCTGTCAATTATGTCAATTCCGTAAAAATCTGTTAATTTGGTAAAAATCTGTCAATTCAATAATCATTTATTGAACCCATCGGGGATAAGCGTTTTATTTTATAATTCGACATTTTTTTAGTTTCATATAGTTTATTCTTATCTCGCCCCGCCCTATTTTAGGGCATACGAGAGTTGATACATACACAAATCATACATTTAAAATACGTAAATCTCTAAAAGTTACATCAACAGTGAATATAAAAATCTGAATATCTAAAATAATGCTCAGTGCAATTCTATAAAACAAGTTAAATCCAAATAAAATAATAAAGTAGTAAAAAGGTTAAAAAAAAAAAAAAAAAAAAAAAAAAAAAAAAAAAAAAAAAAAAAAAAAAAAAAAAAAANACTTTGCAGGAACATGCAAAACAGTGATAAAATATAGAAGTTAAAATTCGATAAAAAGGTTAAAAGGCAGAACAAGTTAAGAATCAAAACAATCAGTTAAAAGTTGATAAAAACAATGCTTGTTAAATTAAAAATTTATAAAAACAATACAAATTAAAACGTAGAGAAGTTTAAAATGAAATTAGACAGAAACACAAGACACCAGCAATAGTGTTCGCAGGCTCCGAGCATAGTTAAATGTGGTTCAGAATGTCCTCCAATGTTACCTTTATAATTTTTTTATCGATGTTTCTACAGACCAACTTAGCAAAGCATTGGTGCAAATTTTGTCCTGCAAAATGGTTTCCACGGAGTGTCTGGAAGTGTGGGCAGTTCATGATCAAGTGTTCGATTGTCTGATTGTCCCCACAATAGGTACAAGTTGGGTTTTTATTGAAAAGTCTATTTTGGTATTCTCCAAACACCCCGTGTCCAGTAAGTAATTGGTTTAGGTAAAAGTTGGCCTGTAGTCGTTTGGTGGAAGGGTCTTTAAAAAAAATATAGGTTTGTCGACCTCTCTCGGAGCTCTGCCATTCTGTTTTCCATCTATTTAGGTTGTTGGACTTGATGATTGTTTTGATCTAGGCCTTGGAACTTGGGACCTCTAAATTGATTTGGCTGAGACTGACGACTTCCTTGGCTGCCTGATCCGCCTCTTCGTTGACTAGGATACCAATGTGCGCCCTGACCCAGTTACATGTGATGTTTGGCCTCCATAGTTGTTTAGTATTTTCTGTTTCTTTGTTATTTGGAGTTGGGTCACTTAGGGTTTGCAACGATGAGAGCGAATCAGTGAAAAGAGTGGCGTCCGGGTAGTCATTTTTAGCCAGCCAATCAAATGCACTTTTAATTGCCATCAGCTCAGCCATAAAAATACTGCAATTGTTGGAGAGTCTAATGGAGTCCGCTTTAATGGTTATCCCATTTCTCTTGATGATAATTCCATAGCCGGTCTTGTGCTTTATCCTACTTCCATTATCGGTCTCTTCGGCGAACTCCACTCTTGAACCATCCGTGAAAATTTCCAACCCCTTATTAGTGGGGAGAGACCTACCCCAAGGCACCGAAACAAACTTTGAGGGGTGTTGCCTTACTGGTCGTTGTTCCAGTGCAATCGAGTCCAGAGAGTGGCCCAAAACTATTTCCAAGTCAGCCAACCCCCAGCCCCAGGTCAATCTTTTTGTGCTGATATCTTCAAGGATCTTTAAGTGAATAGGTATCACTCCCACCAGTATCTGGAGGGCCTCCGTACTTGTAGTAGAGTAGGCTTTGTAAAACTGCTTTCATAAATACAAAAATGGAAAAAAAACAAAAGAAACAAGGAACATATGAAATTAGGAACATGATGTTACATAATAACTACCCTTAATATACGGCATTATAAACCCTTTTCTGCAATAAAAAGAGTAACAAAAACTATGCACAAGTGGTCATAAATTAATTTTTAAGCGAGAATAACAAAAACAACAAAAGTATTTTTAATCTCTAACCTATCACTATTGTGGTCAATAAGAACAACAGAGTGACTAAAATCATCTAAAAAGCATTTTAGAATGTTAATCTTATAAACCACCTGTCTTTTAGGAATTGGTTCTTGATTATTATAATCTCATTCTCATTGATCCTTCTGTCCTAAATTTGTCATTATTTGAAGACGTTTTCCCTCAGTTAAATATTAGTTTGTCAGTTTTTTCATAACGTCATCAATGCAAGATTTCAGTGCAAGGTCACTTCTTTTTAATGTATATTATTATATATTAAGGACATATTATTATACATTAAGAATATATTATTTCGTATTAAGGATATATTATAACATATTAAGGATAATTTTAAGGTATCCGATTATTTTCGACAGCTTTTTTTTTTTAAATATTAATATAGAATTTTTAAAAACTAGTTTATTTGCTTTATTATGTGTAAAAACTAATAAACTGGCTAGAAAATATTATTATTTATTTATTTTTTAAATGGCCATTTTTAGGTAAAAATAAGGCATTTTTTGCATATATTCTAAACACTGTAAAAAATCCTTTGAGGATTATAGATAAAAGGCTATTTGAACTATTATCGTAAAAGCAAATGCACATACGGAGTTAAGGATCAATATAGAACAGTAAATATTTAAAACTTTCCACGCTTGTGTTAGAGAAAAAGCGTGCATAAGAAATGAAATTCTACTTTTTTTTTCTTTTAGTCTGTTATTCAAAACATGTGAGCCATAATCGTAAACATTCATGCAGAATTTCAGACAATTAAACTTGAAGGTGGTGAAAAATATGAAAAAATTTGGTTTTGAGATAAACGCATTTAAAGATTTAAAATCATTAGTCTATCCACTGTTATCACCTTGCACAAAAGCTACTGCAACTTTGTGAATAATTAGATTACAAACAACAGTTAAACAGTTTTAGAAAGCTGAGAGTACAGTGATTCTAAATTTATATTATACTAAATTTCGAAAATTTCGGCGGTTTTCGAAAAATTTTATTAGCGGTAAAAGTAAAATTTTCCATACACGGCTCACTTCCAAAAAACAAAATTTGAAATTTGAAACTATTGGCGGCTATTTAGATAAAAGAGAAAC